CCCACACAGCCACTCGCTCACTCCCCCAGCAGTGGCATAGGGGAGAAAATAGAAGGAACACAAGCGGGAATCATAGAGTCCTTAAGGCTGGAAAAGACCTCTAAGATAATCGAGTCCAACCATTATCTGAGCGCTGCTGTGTTCACCACTAAACCATGTCCCCAGCTGCCACATCCACATGTTTTTCTGAACACTTTCAGGGATGGGGATTCCACCACTTCTCTGAGCAGCCTGTTCCAATGCCTGACCACCCTTCTTATGAAAAAATTTTCCCTGACATCCAATCTAAATGTCCCCTGGTGCAACTTGAGGACATTTCCTCTTGTCCTGCCATTTTGTACCTGGGAGAAGAGACCTACCCCCACCTTGCTACAAACTCCTTTCAGAGAGTTGCAGAGAGTGAGAAGGTCCCCCCGAGCCTTCTTTTCTCCACGGTAAACATCCCCAGCTCCCTCAGTTGCTTCTCATCAGACTTGTGCTCCAGACCCTCCCCCAGCTCCGTTGCGCTTCTCTGGACATGCTCCAGCACCTCAATGTCCTTTTTGTAGTGAGGGACCCAGAACTGAACACAGGATTCAAGGTGTGGCTTCTCCAGTGCCAAGTACAGGGTGACAATCATTGCCCTGGTCCTGCTAGCCAAACTATTGCTGATACAGGCCAGGATGCCATTGGCCTTCTTAGCCACCTGGGCACACACTGGCTCACGTTCAGCTGCTGTCAACCAGCACCCCCAGGAATGTTTGTAGATCCAGATAAGGACAGTTTAATAAATGAAGGAAAGCAAAAAAAAAAAAAAAAAATCTAAGCCAAACAACCCAACCCAACCCCCCCCCAAGCAATGCATAGGCAATCACTCACCACTTCCCACCAGCAGACCTACACCCAGACAGTCTCCCAGCGACAGCGACTTTGGAAGACTAAAGCCCCACCATGCTTCTTCCTCTGCCACAGCTTTTCTCGCTGAGGTCAACGTTTTATGGCATGGAATATCCCTTTGGCCGATTTGGGTCAACTGTCCTGGCTCTGCCCCCTCCCTGTCTCTTGTCCACTCCCCATCTACTTCCTGGGGAAGACAAGTGAAAAAAAAAAAAAATGCAAGCCTTGATGCTGTGCAAGTGTTATTCAGCAATAGTCAACACACTAGTGTGTTACCAACACTGTTTTAGCTACAAATCCCAAACACGGCAGCACATGGGCAGCAATGAAGAAAGTTAACTCCATCCCAGTCAGACCCAGTACAGTCTCCACCCCTTGCTCCACACCATTACCACCATACTCACGTCCTACATTCTCAGTCATCACCATCAACCACAACTGCCCTTCTGGTCCTTTGACACGTGCACAGACATCATTCCCTTAGTCTGTGGGACATCTCCCAAATGTCCATACAAGTCTAGTCAATAATTTGGTCCATGACTTGTAGGAAGCTGCTGTGTGGAGCACATCAGATGGTTTTGCACAACACAACAGGATCCACTGGCAAATAGAGCATATTGCCTTTCACCTTCTGCTATTTATTATACTTTTGGGCTTGAGCCACCTCCTCAGATGATGCTCTGAAATCTCTGCCTCCTGGCCCAACAGTGATCTCTTCCAGCATTCAAGTTGTAGCACACATATAACATAGGAATGCCAAAAATAATGTTTCGTCATTGTTTCTGCCTGTCAAAAAACTTCCTACCAAAAATTCTCTGTCAGCTTTCTACCACAAGTTCTCACCAGAGCTTCCTGCTGGAGTTTTCCTGCCAAAAGATCCTGCTATTGTTTATGGTTATCATATCTCCTCGAACATCTGAATAGGGCTACGTGCCAAGAAACCACGTACAACCTCCTTTGAACACTATAAAAGTTGAGGAAAAATTTGGGAAAAATCAAGGGGACAGCAAAGAGAGAGAGAGAACCAGTTACCCTAGCTGAGAATCTCTCCCCAGCCCCCCTCACTTTTCTTCTGCCACCATATGCTGCCTATCTGTCATGGGAGACTGGAATTCTGCCAGCCTGGAGAGGACTGAGAACCACTGTGTGACATACGTGAGTTATATTTTATTTTTCCACCCTGACCATATTTTTGAGGGCTGAAAGGTGTGGCTGAACTCGGACCCCTGCACGGCCTGGGACATGGCTCTTGGCATGAGCAGCGAAACCACTCATCCTAGCTGCATTCCAGAGAACTAAAGCTGTTAAGACACCCCCCTCCCCCCCCACCACCAGCTCCGTGGAGAGGTAGTTTTTGGTGGTATCTTTTCTCTGCTTCTAGAAGTAATCTTAGCATTTTCCAACTTTTTCTTATTTTTTCCTCTTTGTCTTTGCATCTCTTAGCAATTAATAAAATCAGTTTTGGTATCAACAGATAATTTGTGTGAGTTTTAATTTTGCTCAAGAGTATATACAAATCTGAAGTTCTTTCTGCAACATTTAAGCAGATTGTAACACAAGGGCACTGGGTTTTCCTCATTTGAGCCTGCTGTGTGATCAATCCTACCCTCTTACTCCATGTAGCTTCAATTGCATGATGTGTAGAGGTGACCCTTCCTATGAACATCTAGTGCAGCACGAGCACCTTGAACCCTTGATACCCCCAGCTCCAGAACCTCAGCAGTCAACCTTGGGGCCTTCCAGGTATTTTCTGCCAGAGACTCCAGGTGAACAGAGCATGTTTCTTACAGCTGATACTTTTTGGACAGGCCCAAGGGCTACCACACGAACCATCCTGCTGCTGTTTAGGAACTGTGCTGGGTTCACCTTGTCCAGACACCAGGTGCCCACCAAAGCTGCTCTGTCACTTCCCTCCTCAGCTGGACAGGGGAGAGAAAATGTAACAAAAGTCTCCTAGGTCAAGATAAGGATGGGGAGAGATCACTCACCAGTTACCCTCAGGGGCTCGGCTGTTGCTGGTGGCAGGTCCATCTTGGATTGGCTCTGTTGGACATGGAGGAAGTTTCTGTCAATCTCCCACAGAAGCTGCCCCCCCTGGCCCCCAACTACCAAAATCTTGCCACACAAACAATACATTTGAAAAAGTTCTTTAAGGTCACTCAGTGGAGAGAACTCGCAAGGTGACTGTGACCCAGAATATGCAGTTTCCAAAGATGCACTATGCCTAGGAAAGCTTTTTTATTAGCTGGTGGAAACTTGACATTTATCTTACTGATCACATCCATGGGGATATGATAATGCTGATCTTGCTATTACAAGCTTGGAAACATCTATCCTGGAGAAGAAGAGAAAGAACGTCTCCATGAGACGGTTCCCTGAACACTGGGATGGCAGCAATGCAGGGACCGAACGCCAGACTTGGCTCACGGTCATTGCCTTTATCAGAGGTCTCTCAGGCAGAGCAGAACACAGTGATAAGCAGCACAGCAAACAGCAAGAGCTGACAACAGCCATGCAGAAGCTTTGGAGCTTAATGTGCAGCAAGAGAGGGAACAAATAACTGGGACCAGCAACAGCAAGTAGCAGCTTAACAGCTGTGAAAAACAGACAGACCAGTCACCACAACTCTGGGTGCCACAGGGACAGCAGCGGGGTGGTTCCACCAGCAGCCAAGTGCCCACGCAGCTGCTCACTCACCCCTGCTCACAGAGGGATGCAGGGAAGCTGAAATGAATAAAAGCGAGAAAATCTGTGGGTCAGATAAAGCCAGTTTCATGGGCAAAAAAAGTGAGGAAAAGACAGGCAGCCATAATGACACTGTAGCTGGTCAGGGCTGTCCTATGACCACCAGCCACTGGCTATGGCACCCCTGCAGCCACCTTCACCCCTTTTTCTCCTTCTCACAGAATCATACAATGGCTTATGTTGGAAGGGACCACAGTGGGTCATCTTATGCAACCTCCCCACTTAAGCAGCACCATCCTAGAGCACATGGCACAGGATTGTGTACAGACAGTTCTTGAATATCGTCAATGAGGGAGACTCCACAAACTCTCTAGGCAACCTGTTCCAGTGCTCAGTCACTGTGCAGTAAAGAAGTTCTTACTCATATTCAGGTGGAACTTCCTGTGCATGAGTTTCTGCCTGTTGCTTCTTGTCCTATTGCTCAGCACCACCAAGAAGAGCCTGATTCCATCACCTTGACACCCTCCCTTCAGATAATCACAGACATTGATGAGGTGCCCTCTCAGTCATCTCTTCTCAAGACTGAACAGCTCCAGCTCCCTCAGCCTTTCCTCGTAGGAGAGATGCTCCAGTCCCTTCACCATTTTTCTTGCCCTCCGCTCTCCCCTATTGCTATGACAGAGGCTGACAGTCCGTGAGGGCACTGAGAAGAGGCATGACACTGACAGTGTCCCCATCGCAGGGTGTCTCCAACCCAGTGTCCCCAGGGTGGTGTTCCCAGCCCAGTGTCCCCAGGGCAGTATCCCGAGCAGTGTGTCCCCAGCGCAGCCCAGTGTGTCCCTGTCACAGTGTCCCTATCCCCGGCACACTTTTCCCAGAGCAGTGTTCCCGGCACAGTGTCCCCCGGGCAGCCAGTGTTCCTGTCACAGTGTCCCCATCCCCGGCACAGGGTCCCTATCCCAGTGTGTGCCCAGCCCAGTGTGCCCAAGGCAGTATCCTCAGTGCAGTGTCCCCAGGGCAGCCCAGTGTCCCTGGCACAGTGTCCCCAGAGCACTGTCCTCAGAGCAGTATTGCCCGTCCCAGTGTCCCCCACAGTGTATCCCCAGGGCAGCCCCATCCTGGCACAGTGTCCCCATCCCAGTGTATCCCCATAGCAGCCCAGTGTCTCTGGCACAGTGTCCCTAAGGCAGTATGCCCAGCCCGGTGTCCTCAGCCCGCTGTGTCCCTAGGGCAGCTCAGCGTCCTTATCACGGTGTCCCCGTCCCTGGCGGTGCCCCCCTCCCGGTGTCCCTGCCCACCCCGGGCTCCCTCAGCGCCGCCGCCGCTCTTTGTCTCTGTCTCCGCCCGCCCCCGCGGTGTCACGTGCCGGGGGCGGGGCGCGTCGCGCGGCGGTGACGCGCGCGGGGCGCGGGCAGGATGGGGCGCTGAGGGGCGGCCGGGCCGGGCCGGACACCCCGCGGGAGCCGCCGGGCGAGCGGAGCGGGCGGTAAG